CTACTATGATGCAGCTTCAGTACCCTTTTGAAGGATTTTCGCAACAATTGAAGAATTCCGGTAAGATTTAAGAGAACTAATGCTTTTGGACGAAATTTCTATTTTAAATCCAAGTTACCCCAATTTTTTCAAATAAAAACGTATTTAGAAACTCCTTCACCAACATCTGAACGTCGCATGAGACGAAATCGCACTGCGTTCAGTGAAGATCAACTGGATCAGCTTGAGAAAACTTTTGAGCAGTGCCACTATCCGGATATAGCGCAACGAGAGAAACTGGCAAAGGAAACACAATTGCCAGAGGCAAGAATTCAGGTGGGCATATAGCACAAATAAAACTCTTAATCATTGTATGAAATCAAAACTAAAGAACGAACGACAAGAAAGCAGAACGATTAACTGGAAGTACCTATTTTAGAATTATTTGAAAAACTGACTTAGCTAAGCTTTTGACTCACGACATTGCGATATGAGTATGATCTGATTAAACTAACATTTTGTCTCACTTTTTTCCCAATGGATTAACGGGTCCACATGCATTAATTCTCCAATAATATAACATTTAATAAATATTCTTGAATAGCTAAGACAAAGAGTATTTACTAATAAAAAAAGATCAAGATTAGGGAATAGAGCATGCTGCGCTTATAAAAGTAATTGCTAAAACGAATCGCAAAAACCAAAATTCAAGTTATGTATGTTTAGCAATTATAGATTAGCTACTGAATACTCATCAATCACTTATCAGCAGTGACTTCTTCGAGTGAGCGGTTGTATAAAATGTTAAGCATTTCTTACAACGAATTAGTAGAAAATTGTAATTTTCGTGACAGTTTCACCTCTTTAAGCTTCAATTTTTTTCCAAAGTAAGACTAGATCTTAAAGGGCTGACCCACTTTTTAGTTGGACTGCATTCTCAACTCTATCACTTCTGGTTTACAGGCTTTCGCGCTTTGAAAGATAACATTCTATACTTCATTTAGCAATTTCCACTCCGACATTACTCCAAAGTATATTCCATCTGACCTGCTCACTTTTCTGTTGCTTGCGTCTGAATGAAAATTTAGGTTAGACACTCCACCTTACATAAATTAGTCATATAAAAAGCTTGAGAAAATACTTAAATAAAAAGAAAAAGCGCCGTTCTTAGCTCAGTCTAGTGCAGCGGTGGATGAGGTTTTCTACCTGATATGTGATCAGTTGAACTTCTTCCCATTTCTTATCCCACCTGTCACAAATCTGATTAATACGAG